GGGGGGGGGGGGGGGGGGGGGGAAGTAAGAGATTGTTGAAATAGCATGTGGTTACGACTTATATCCATTCCTCCTCTTCCTTCACTCGGCACGTACCCTCTTAAAGTTTAGGGTCTACGCGTCGAGAGAAGGGAGAGAGGTACTGGGTATGGGTTGTAACCTTTACAATCTTTCCCGAAGCGATCCGATACAACTTTAGGTGCGTCATTCACCGCGAATTAGGAGTTAATGTTGTTGTTAGGCAATGACTGTTGCTTTCCCATGGTGCAGCTTAACTCTCGGGGAAAGTACACCCAGCCTTCACGTGCAGCATCAGCTCCCCTGACCCAAAAAAACGTTTACTGCTGCGCACTTTCGCGCTCATGACTCATCTCTTTGGTCCTCACCGTATGCAATAATTTCCCCCAGATCAAATCTTTTTGCGCTCCTGTTTCATAGGAGCCAGGATATTTTGGAAAGATAGTACTAGTTTCTTTTCAATGAGAACTACAGCCTTGTCTTGCAGGAATCAGACCTATACTGCTGTAAAAGTGGAGCAACCTACAACGTTTGCCACTTTCGTATATACCGCTTACGACTACAGTAATGGCCGATGGATGGAGAAAGATCGGAGTACGATTCGTTCACAATTAGACGGAGTGACTCAGGAAAGGTAGAATGGAATTTCGTGATGATGTAATTACCAGAAAACATATGCACTTACTCCCACATTTGTGATTTCTGCTACGGTAAAGTCCAGATCGGAACCCGTCTGCGTTGATTGGAAAGGATTTCACTCTTTTTGACTTTCTCGTCCTTCATTCCAAATCCTAGTGCCACTCAAATGCGCACTCAGCCTAAAAGTTAACTTTCGATTGTTAGCTGCTATGATCCACCTGGACAAGTTTGATGTCAACTAGTAGAAATCCGAAGAGAAGTAGCACTGAGTTGCCCTGTCCGGAGTGAGAGCTTGACCGTACTTGGGTAACATGCCATTTGGCACAGCCCCACCCCACAAATGAATTATACGCTTAATGGATTCAAATCTTACTCCAATTCCATTTAAAGCTGAATGCTTAGAGATCCCAAATCCCAAGTCCCGAATTGAACGAAGCTGAAACTTCATGTTTCTACTCAGATTTGTCGGTTCTCCCCGCTTTGTTACCCCCGTGTGCTGCTCGACCCGTTCTGTTCCCAGTAAGTTATAGCAATGGCTTACGTCTAGTGTTTATTCTACACCTCACCATAGGAATCCTAAAACTGCCGCCCGTTAATAGAGGAATATAGATACTCATTAGAATAACCCTATTTAAATGCAGTACAGAGCCTAAAGGGTGCACGACTTTCTGTTACCAGGGCTATACATAGTTAGAGCTTAGCGCGTTACTGGATAACACCAGGAATGCTATCTGTTTCGTCCCTGTGGGCGGTCAGTTCTGACCCTCAAGTGAGATTTTTAGGGCCCCTAAATTGAGTGGAGTTCACCTTGCAAAAGCAGTAAAATTTCGTAACCTCAAGAATGAACACCGTTCAGACGTTGCTACGTCTTTACGTTCCATCATGCGGGGCAACTCAAACAACTGCATAGTAGTGACTCGACTCTTTGTGACGTAGTCTCCTCGGAAATTACACGGTTAATCCAAAATGTACACACGATAAACGGACGGAGTGCCTGAATGAATCGGAAGCACGTGACCACCCATCAAGTTACAGTACAACCGATGAGCAGTTATGTTACCCATTACAATTGCCCAAAAAAAATGCCTTTTGCCTCAGAAGCTATGGGACTCCGAAACTTTTGAGCTGTATTTATTCAGAAACTGATGGGAAGACACACTCGAGAGAGAGGATTCAGCGGAATCTTCTCCCTAAGCGAGAATAAACGGCATGCAGGTTGAGGATGCTACTCATCATGAACTTCACGGTTGCCAAGTTAATGTCCCTAAGTTGATAAGATGGGTCAAGTATGTAGGGCAGTGGTTTCGAAATCGGTTGCCTCGTCCTGAATTCATGAAGACGCATCTGTACTTTATGTGTATCGAATACAAGTAGGTCGTAGTTTTTGGATCCCAAAACTAAAGTAAAGAATGTATGTATTGGTTCAGAAGCCCAAGCGATCTTGACAACTATTTTTGAGCATTTACAGCGAAGCGGTCGTTTTAACGTCTTTGATATTTCTGACTTTTTGAAATGCTTGGATTGAGCTTTTCCTTCTGAGTTTTTTCGGAAGTTAAGGAGTGTTACGCTGCAAAGTACCAGTGAGAATGGACACGGTATAGTCAATAGAAGCAAAACAATACTCACGAATACTTCGGATTGTACTCGCCTAGATCAATCAAGCCTTCTATCTCCCCGGGGGGCGAATATAATTGGTAACAGACTCGACTGGGTGGATAAATGCGCTTACTTGTGCGTCGGCTGGCCATCGCAGATCATAGTATACGCCATGCATTCAATAGGTCACTACGCTTCTAAATTGAAGTCGATGCTGGTGCACATCCCAAAATTCGTAATGATGAACGTAAAGGACTTTATTTTTCATCCTCACTACTATTTTATGCCTGTTTTGTGCTAACTCAGCAGCACTCTAACAATAAACTTCCCAGTTTTTTCATCTTTCCCTCTTGACCATAAACTGTTCTCTATGAAGAACTCACAAACCATAATGATAATTTAATTATAAATCGTGATGGCCGTGGATGAAAAATTGAGTATTCTAGGTATCTGGATTCTCAGAGACGGATTGCTCTGACTGTTTCGGCAGGAGGTCGTGCTTCTCACCAGCTCGAGACTGGTATGTATTTTGCCAATTCGAATCCTGGTGGAGAGATGGACGAGCTGAGAAAACAGCCATTGAATGAAATCACCGACAACAAGTAAGTTGGCTTCTACTTGCGACCTTCTTCCCCAGCAAACAACTTGACCCTTTATTTTTGGCCTTGCTTGGGCTATAGAAGTATAATACTTCTTTAATTTCACAGTAGCGTCCTTATTTTCTCGACTTTTTAGCTTTGATCGACTCGGTTGGTACAGGATGGATGAGAACGGAAAATTCCATGTGAATAACGGTATTGTGAAGATGGAAGAAATACATAAAGCAAAGGTGAGTTTAGGAAGGTTCCATGAGTTAGCAAAAATTAAATCAAGGTTAGAATTTCAATGAAGGTGAATTTCATATATTTCAGGTGAAAAATTGCCATGAGCAAACCTATCGAAGTATAATAGATGCGAAGAACTATGTAAGTCTCTACAATATCTTTGAAGAGCAGAGATTGGGGTTAATTTTATTTTCACACCTTTGGATAGCACATCGTAGAGGAGGACTGCGAGTGCATTAGCAGGGTATACGCAGTTGTTTAGGAAGGCAGCTTTTTAGCATGTAGATTGGGCTACTGTTGTTTTTCTGGGATCTGATCCTCAGTGAGATATCTCAATGATTCTGAGGAAGCTCAAAAGCATGGCTGAAAAAGCAAGAATGCGTCTTTTTTGTTTCTACGGATTTTTGTTACCTATTGATGGGCCTGTGCCATAAGTTCCGACTTGTCTAGAAGAGCGCATTATATTGACCAAAAGCCACATCATCCCTTGAGCTTTACAACAGAGTGGTCATAGTGAAGGAGAACTGGACTTTACGGGTATTCTTTGAAGATCTACAGCACAATCGAGTAATGCACCTAGTTCTTCTAATTGACAAGTAGACCTTATTGCCAGCCCTTATGTCACATTGCAGTCCTCCTAGGCTCTCGTTTTCAGATGCCAGGCAATTTCAACTTGTCGAAACCCCTGGAGATGGTCTATCCATGGATTCAAAGTGCTCGAGTCTACGATGGCACTCAAAGACAAGTAATCGTCACACATGCTGAAGGATCGAACCTTCACGTCACATTGCAAGGTGAGCATTCATCTCGAGGATTTCGGATTGAAAACTTCCAGAATCTCCCAGTCATGAAGCATCGAAATGGCAAATAGATAGTGTTTTTAACAGTCCTTTCAATGACTCTCAGTTTCATTGTTCAGACTACTTTGAACTGTTTAGTAACCGGTGAAGTCGACGGACATCGACTAGTGTTCTTCCATAACTCGTCACGAATATCCGATTTTACGGGCACTATCATTGTCGACTCTAGAAGCAACAGGTTTGTCACCTAAAAAAGATCATTCCACTTTCACATTCTATGGATTATTGGTTTACTTTAAGATACTTCAATGTAACTGTCTATGGCGCTTCGGGAAAAATCAACGGCGCTGTAAAGTCTTCAACAGAAAGAGACTCCACTGAGATATTCTCATTCACCACATACGTACATGATCTTAATGTGAGTGAATTGGAGAAGTATTAATGGTGTTCGCTCCTGGTAAAAAGTCATTTTAGGCATCAAACCGATCGATGATCATTCCAATGCCTGCAATAGTTGAATCAGGTTCACGAATGATCTGTATGTACGCGGATGAACAACGTGAGGAGCAGGCTGTCTGTAGGATTGTGCAATATTACGAAACCCCACTCGAGGTTGGTTATTTTCCTTCAGTTCTTAAAAGAAAACAAAATTCGGGGGAGTTCTAAAGCTAATTGAATGAGTACTGTAAGAGAAATGACTCGAATTTACCTTATAAAGCGATGTAAATTCTTTTGCGGGAAAAATTGTAAAAATCCCCTGAAAAAGAGAGGCATAATTCTTTCACAGGTTGAAAACCTGCTGGGAACCCATATCACTCGTAATAATTTACCACATTTGCGAAAAGGAGAAGGTATAGACTCAGCCAAGGAGTTTTAGGGCCTCACACGCTTTACAGGAAGCGTTTCACTCAAATGTGTGAACTGTATCCCTTTTCAGTATCTGGGGATTGACCTACCCGTTCAGAACCTACTACTCGCAACTTGCTTCTGTCTCTGACTTGAGTAGTTGGGAAATTCGCTGAGTATTACGATTTTTCTTCATGCTGTCACTTTTTGTGTGAGCTATAAAGACATGTTCGACATGCTGACAAATAAGAAAATGTTGGTAGATTTCAAACAGAAAGCATTCTGTATACCGATTTATTGGGCGAGTATTTCGGCCAGTAGGTAAGAAAGATACTTTCATTCGAAATGGAAAGAAACGTGCTCACCTTTACATGTCAAAGTCATTATTGCTCCTCTTTTGACTACGTTACTTCTTTATGTTACACTTCATAGAAATTAGTGTAAATCTTGCATTTTCCCATTGACGATATTTTCAAGGACAACTGGTAATCAAAAGAAGGCTATTGAAGTAGTTCAGTGTAACTGATGATGTTTTATTCAGGTTGATATCGAACACAACACATGGCATGAAATGGTCGGCAGTTGTCCATCTTGTAATCAAATAAACCTTACAGGCTTCTCTAAGTAAGTTCACCGAGTTCTGATAGACGACTCTGATATGGCGAAGTGATAATTAAATAAAAAAGGGGATGTTGGACGACTGGAAAATGCTTTTTCTTTAATATGTCTCAAGAAGTGCTAAGTTCATGCTGGGAAATTCATCGAGGAACTCAAAAAACGATCCAATCCTTACATATCTAAAAAGAAAACTATTCCGACAATTTAGAGGTACTCCTTGAAATAGTTACTAATTAGAGCAGCTTGCACTACAGCATGGAACCGCAACGTTCTCCTCCGTTATGCTCCCTAGTTTAGTAACCTCATTCAGGGATGCATCCACTCACTGAACCTCTACTCAGAGTGGAAGTGGAGCATGAGTGCTAAAAAGGCGTCTTAGGAAAAGTTTACACAAAATTTAGTGCTTTTATCCACTTACATGAGTCTGGACCCTGAAGGAATGGCAGGCTTGGGCTGGTGCCAACAAAGGATTGGATCCTCAACCCCAGTTCGGCTAGCAGCGCCTCATGGTTTCAGTTCGTCCCGTCTTTTCCCAACATACTCAAACCTGGGCAAATTCCCTCAAGATTAACTTATTTTCATTGATTGATTCCTGTAACGTCAGTAGCACATGAAGAGTTGATCAATAAACCGATTTCAGATTTCTGAACCCGATGTCGTGGGTGAACGGCGTATCCTCACTTGGAGAGTTTGTGATGATGGCCACTGATGTACTGGTGTACGTCTGTGTACTAGTTGTTATCTATGTTGTGCTCACGAAAATCATCATACCTATCTGTAAATGCTGGATCTGTCCGATGTACATACTTTCACAAGCGACACACGTAAAACCACAAAAACAGACGAAGCGAAGGAAACCCGATCATGACCACGATGACGGGATCTGTGTTTGACACCTCTGAAAAGCTTTCCCAAACTTTATTTCACTTCCATTCTCCTTCATCAGGTGTGATCTATTTAATCATGACAAGCATATTATCTGTCTTACTGGAATGATCTGAATGTGCCTTTGAAATGTGCCGAAATTTTGTTTATTTGTTGTGCCAAAATTTGCTCTTGTGTGCTGCCAAACATTCACTTACGCTTTTCTGCCGTCTGCTGATAGAATCTGCTAGTCGCTAATACTGATTGAATGTTGTTAACTTCTGGTTAACTTTTCCGTTTATGTCCCTTGAAATCCGGTAGATTTTCCCTTTGATGGCAGACTTTCATTGTGTTGTGATGTTGAATCGGGTATCGTTGTATGTTTTTTNAAAATTTGCTCTCGTGTGCTGCCAAACATTCACTTACGCTTTTCTGCCGTCTGCTGATAGAATCTGCTAGTCGCTAATACTGATTGAATGTTGTTAGCTTCTGGTTAACTTTTCCGCTTATGTTCCTTGAAATCCGGTAGATTTTCCCTTTGATGGCAGACTTTCATTGTGTTGTGATGTTGAATCGGGTATCGTTGTATGTTTTTTGTTTTATTCGTTTGTGATATACATATATTTATTTTATTAAAGAAATTTGAATTTTTTGTGTCCTCATGATACTCAAAACGCTGATAAAGTCTAAAGAAGAAATTCTTTCACCGTCAATCAATCCCACCGGATTGATGCGCCCCGCACTTGAGCTTAATTCAGGATCGTGGTGGAGTATTGTATGCGTGGGTGGCCCCAAAGATGGCTTGAGTTGCCCAGTCGATGTACGAGTTGGTGTTTTTATCCTCCTAGACGAGTCTCTACCAATTAACCGACTCTGAGAGATGGAAGGCTCAGTTGACCTTGGCGGATATCGGTCCAGGAACCCATCCCTTACCATACATTGTGGTTGTGCACCACTTGCCCCTCACAAACAAAAGCGAATTGCACTATGAAAGCATAAAAAAGGCTCGTAATCACAACAATTGCTTCATGAAAGTGAATCAACGCATTGGGTTACGCCATGTACTGGACTTCCATGCACATTTTGCAGGTGCATGTGGAGCGTGAACATGACCAGTACTTTGACCAGGCATAATCCAGTCCAATGCACTGTTAATGGAGGAGGAGAGCTCGTTTTCTGAATAGTTTTCCATTATTCCACGTGATTGAGTAAGTCTTCATTTAGTTTGCAAATTAAAAAAGTAAATCGGGCTTCAAGAATCCACCCGAATACTGGAGAATATGGCTTTGCGGACATATCTTTCGGTGACTTTTTCAATCACCTTATTCCATTTAATTATAACTAAGCCTATCTAGAATGAATATGGTAAGACATATGGGGAAAAACGGGGTGAAGAGAGCCTAGTTAAAAGGTCTAATCAGCCGAGAGGTTTCCCCGGTTTTGTCCCTGATCTAGTGGCGCTACCCATCCCCGCAAACACGTTGCTAACATTGATCGTTCTTATCACTTCCACCGTTGTCCATCAACAGTGTTTTGCATTGGGAACTCATATAATGAGTGTTTTTCATTCACTTCCTATTTTCGAACATTTACTTAAACAAACTCAGTGGCTCCGTTTAGATGATGGAAATCTTAAATCTTTGTCCTGATCAACTCGTACACTTTGCTTGTACCAGTATATTTTGAAATTACTTATGGAGTCCGCCGGACCTAAAATCATTCGAATTTGGGTTTTCCACTTGAAATTCGCTGTCTTCATGCTTCTGCTTCTGCTAGGAGCCGTATCTTATCGCACTAGTCAAGAAAGATAGTCGTAGTCCTCCCAGATCGGTGCACCGTTTTGTTAGAAATTTTGATTCTTGGTCTTAGCGGTTTTTTCGAATTGTTGAAATAGTTCAACTTACATTTTTATTCAACTTTGTTGGCACCTTATCGAGCTGTTGATGGAAATCAGGTGACTTACAGCCCAAAATGACAAATATGGAAACCATTAACCAGTAAACTAGAATGTAGTGATGGAGCGTAGCCTTATCATACGTCCAAGTTCATTCAGGCTCCCCAACGCGTTGACGCTCATTTTCCTGTCGAGGACTGTAGGTAGTCAAGAGCTTCCAGTATGCTCCCAATCAATCCATTCCATCCCTCGTTCATTTTATGTTCGTGATTCACGATGGTACCATTCTCATGTCTTGGAAGGTTTTTACTTGAACTAGCTATTTATCGATTCCAACTCGAACGTTCCGACATGATTGTCTCATTCGTAGGCTGGATTTCTACCGTTTAGGCGGAAGAATCCCTTTCCACCCATAGGCTATGGTCAGTGGTTTCAACGTGACCTCCTTCTGAGGCCCTCTTTAAAACCCAGGCTCCGGAGAAGACGCCAGAAAGGGTCACGTCGAAACTTTTACGACTAGAATCAACAAGAAGATTTATATGAAAAGCTGCCAAGACACAAGAAAATTACCATCGAACATCATAATGCCACACCAGGAGGTCATTCATAATTTACTTTTTCTTTCTATAATTTATTGCAGCCCGGATCTTCATGGGTAAATCAAAGGTATATGTGATTGGTGTCGGAATGACAAAGTTCTGTAAACCAGGATCACGTGATTGGGATTACCCAGACATGGTGAAAGAAGCCGGTGAGTGTTANAAAAAAAAATAAAGAAATAAAATAAGTAAGAAATAGCTGTCTAAAATTCAGGGTTTTTTCAGTGAACATGGCACTGGACGACTGTTCGCTGAAGTACACAGATATTCAACAAGCTACCGTCGGATATTTATTTGGAGGCACTTGCTGCGGCCAAAGGGCTCTTTATGAACTCGGATTCACTGGCATACCTATTTTCAATGTAGGGGTTACAATTACACTCGAAAAACTTTGTTTAATAAGTGGGCACCTTATCAGGAGGCCTGCAGATTGTTGATCTTCATGTTTTCACAATTGCAGGTAAACAATGCCTGCGCTTCTGGCTCTTCTGGGCTCTACTTGTGTAAGCAAATCATCGAAAGTGGTAGGTACTTGATGCGAACTACGCTGAACCCTAATATTTTCGAGAATTGGGACGTTGGTCCATTGTCGAGAATTCTCTTTGCGCTATCCTTGTAGGATGATGAGCGACAAATGGAAATGTAGAGGCCTTCGCTGCGTTTAGGTAACTCTGACGTTGTGCTTGCATGTGGATTCGAAAAGATGGCCACGGGATCACTGGACACTCAAGCTGGCAACTCTGATGGTCGGGCTCTGTCTGTGGATAATCATATCCAGGTATGCCCTGTTCCCCACCGCCTTACGGTCCTTTTTGAAGAAACAAGCATCTACTTAAGGTCATGTCGGATACGTACGGCCTCTTCCCTGCTCCAATCACAGCTCAAATGTTTGCAAACGCTGGCAAAGAACATATGGAGAAGTATGGTAAGCT